TTCCTTTGTTTTATGGAACTAGTTCTAAAAGATTTAAGAACACTGTTCAGAATACAAAATACCTGGTTTTGAAATGGCATATACCCATTATTTTGGTTATGTTGTCATTCTTTGTTAACTGTATTTTTAGATAAAGGTTTTTTTTCACCTTGAAACAACAGAGTACCTGCATCAGTCAGGCTCCCTAATTTCCATTTCTGCTTGTATATTAGATGTACATAGGAAGATTTACTATCATGTCATGGCAGGACGCATCAAAATCTTAGTTATTTCAAGCAGTGCACTTGTGGGTACTTTGAAGCTAAAGTTTGAAGTAAAGACACTAAACTTAATAAATATTAATTGTATATAAATTGTGTAGCATCTATATCATACCAGTTTAGTAACTGGTAAAACTGCAAGTATTGCATGAATGTTCTTTGGCTGGTCTGTGTTGCTTTTTGTTTAACTACTGGGTTGGCAACTGCCAGGTTTTCATTGTACTGTTGAAGTTCTTGGGAAATGCAATTTGGAAGAAACACTTAACTCTTCAGTAGATAAAGTCATATAATACATAGCAATTGTACTTGTTATATTGCCATTATTTTTCAGAGACATGGCAAGCCTATCTCAAGTATTTCAGGAAAGGCAGGATTGGGGGAAATGGGGGTTTGAAGAAGGTATAGATACAATACTCAAAAATACCAGTGTTGGTATGTGTAATACTCTGCATGTGATATCTAGCACTGTCAAATCTTGGTTACTATTTGCTAGTTACAGAATTCAGCTCTTTATTTTTCTATTTTCCTTTTTTGTGAGATAGCTGGCTTCTTTTGGTTCCCCTCCTTGTTTTGCTTAAATCGGAGACGATTTGTGTAGATGACCTCTCTATGCAGAAGTCAAGTGTCTGGCAAATGAACTTCTTCATTGGACTGCAGCAGGTGTGTCATTAGGGAGCTGCTGGTGTAAAAGACAATTACCCTGCAGGTATTCACAGACTGCTTTGGAGTAGGGGCCCGTTACTGTAGGAACCTGAGACCAGTTAGTCAGATACAGTGGCCTATAAGTTACTTGTTGCTGCCTCCCAAAAGATCTAAAATTTTTGGGTATCACAAAAAATGGAATGGCATAAGACTTTGAAAATAAAAAGTATATTGATTTAAATAAGTTCCCGTCAATAAATGCGTTATTTTTATTGCTGTGGCAAAAGCACTGTGATCCTTGCTGTCTATCTGTAGGAAAATACATGGTGAACCCCATGCTAGAGATTGGGAGGTACAGTGCTGAGGAGTCTGCTTCTGAGAGGAGGTCTTGAGCTGTCAGACAGGGATCCTGCTTTTGAGACCTGGTTCTCTGCCAGCCAAGCATCCTGCTCGAGCCTTCTGCCTCCTATCCCATCCTCACCTGACCTCAGGCCCATAGCTGTGTGTATGAATGTTTCTTTTGAAAACAGCTGCTGCATAAATTATTTGACAGAATTTTGGCATCAAGCATTTTATGCACCATCATTTTCTGAAGAAAGCTTTCTTTGTCGTCTTTCAACAATTGCTTTATTTATTGGCTTCTATGACATAACTGGAAACATGGATGATACTGATTTAAAAAATCCTAACTGCCTTGCAGTTAGATTAATTGAAATCACAGTTCAAGAGAATTCTTGAACTTCTGGATGATTTTTTGATTGTTTGTGATGTGGAGCCTGCTGATATTTTGGTGCTTTGGTCCAGAGTCCAGAATCCTGTGTATTTTGTAAAGGTCTTGAGGGCTGGAGTATGGTAGCAGTAAAGTCAGAAACTTGCTAATCCTGAACTTGGAAGAGGCACCTCTAGGAATTGAAATACCGAAGTGAGGAGCCTTTATGTCTAGTAGGTCACAAGCTGGTTTCGGAACGCAGGAAGCAACAGGGATATCATTCCCAAACCCGGCTGGCTGATATTTTTGTGTTTGGGTTGTTTTTTTTCTCCCTCTGCAATGCTGTCTCACATGAGTGTTAAGATAGAAGTAAATATAAGGAATCAGTTGTTTCAAAGATAAAAAATTAAGTAAAACTGATACGGTTGCATTCACTAAATATAAATTTATTGGAAATGCATAAGTAGCAGAAGTGAACTCCCATTCCAGTAATAATAGTGGAGATGCACAGTATTTTGCCTGGCAGTGGTTTTTAGTTTCTTTTGGCCAAATATTTTTCGTAATTTTGTTTTGGTTTTAATGTTAGTTGGTTCCAATAATTGGGAAAGATACGGTGTTATTTTTATTTTCAGTGCTTATTTGATTTTAATTTTTGCACAGTTTTGACATTGAGAACTTCTTGATATTTTTAAACACACATAGTAATTAGTTGCAATGCTTTTGTGTGAATATACTGTTTTGAAATGGCACAACATTTTGAGTGTGAAAGCATATAGACACAGGCTGATTTTTGCGTTTTATATAAAATGAAAGCAGCGTCCATGAATTTAAGTTGTAGACCCTGTCAGCTGAATTTGATTTTTTTTCTTATAATATGAAACAAGGTCTTTATGATCTGAAATAGAAACATGTTCAGCATAGTTGGCTCTAAATTTATTACATTTCATCTTTTTTTTTTAAAGAAATGATAGATTTTTAAATTTTTTTTTAGTCTAATAAAAGATATTACAGCAAATACTTTAACAAAAAAATACCTGGAATATTATTCGTTTTGCATAGATTATTTTTTTCCTGTTGCTTGAGTCCTGTGATAATTTATCAGGCCTATGAGATCTGTGGGACTGGCAATGATACGTTTTATTGAGTTTTGCACAAAAGGATTCTTACTTTTAGCAGATAGCTTTTGTTTTATTGGATGTGAAGAGTAAATATTACTTCTGTAAACTCATTTAAGTTACATGTCTACCAGTTAAGAACTGATGACAAAGAATTATCCTGTAAAACTTGGTATTAATGTTGCTGATTTAAAAAATTACCTTAAGGTTTTAAAATATGTTTTTAAATAAGTAATATAGGGTTGGGTGATGATAGTTGAACAAAATGTTTGGATAAAGCCCAAAGCAAAAAATTAGAACATATTATGGAGGAATTTGCAGTGATGAAATGTATGAGGGTGTGACAGTCCCTCTAAAAAGTGACAGACGTGGTGTCTCTTAGAAGAACCTCAGAAAGTAATCAGTAGGTAACACAGATCTCAGCCCTGTACCATGTGCTCTCATTTGTCTCCTGGAGACTAGACTTAAGTACAGTCATCTTACCATACCCCTTCTTTTCAATGCTAATATAACTATATGCACATAAATAGTTGTGCTGCTTTCTATTCCTTTTAGTATCGTTGACACACTTATAAAATGGTGGGTGAGAATCTAATTTAGCTTTTGCATTGTTAATTAACTTACTTAAACTCTAGGGCTTCAATCTGCCTTCAGTTTTGCAAGCAATGAGCTTCTGCTGTGAAAAGTGAGCACAGGGATTACTACAGCTCAACATGCTGTTTGCTGCTAGCTGATATTAGAGCCAAGCTTGTTTTGTTTTTTACTACTCCTGAATTTTATCTTGTGTAATAAAAAATTACTGGAATGTAATTGTCTTTATGCTAGGCAAACAGAGTATTATGTCTTCATAGTTGTGATGCATTAATTATATCATGATGAATGTAAAGAGACTGTTTTAATTTTTTCAGGTTGATTTTTTTTTCATTTAACAAAATTTGCTCCATATCTGTATTATATCTCCTTCTGTAATATTCAGCCTTTACATTTATTTTTCTTTACCAGCCTGCAACACTGATGCTTCTTAAATCCTGTTTTCATCCTTTGTCTTTTTTTTTTCCTAGTCTCTCTTTTCACATGTATCTCTACAGATTAGAAAAAGAAATTGAAAAGCTAGTTCACCTTGGATTGCTGTGCAAATGTTTGTCATATTTACTCTAGTTTTTTATTGGCAAGAGGCAAGGAAAAGTAACTTCTTTTGTAAATATATATATACAATAGCACATTATATTTGCATTTTTCTTTATGAATGAGAAATCATTCAAACAAAAGTTTGCAAGTTAACTGCCCCCGAAATTTTGTTTTTCACCTTGTATTTTTTTAAGCACTTTTGAAAATTTTATTAATCTGATGCAGTCATGGATATAATGTAATACTGGATTCTGGGATTATTCTGAATTGTATGTCACTTTGATTTTTCGTACTATTATACCAGTTAATATTATTTTTGAGGGCAGTGCTACCTTTGGTACTTCTTGTAGACTGGCAGCCAAACTGATTCATGGAAGTAATTCCTTTAAAAGTGTGTGAGAAGGTGCCTAGCAGCTTATTCTTTCTGAGTTAGAATGAACTGAAAAGGAAGCAGGATGCTATCTACCCAAAACATTGCAAGTGTAATTTTTTCAAGAAATAAAAACTTTTTTGGAACAGATCACAATATTGAATCCTTTTATTACCATGTTCACATAATTTACAGTCTTCTGTTTTTAAAAAGTTTTGTTTTAATCAGAGCAGCTTTTCTTCCTTTTTTATTGTGTTTGCATACTTGCATTTCCCTTCATTTGGGAAAACACTCCATATCATTCCTTCACTGAGAAAATTTGATGCTTTTATAGTAATTACTTACAGTTTTGATGCTTTAAAATTGCTATTTCATGAAGTTTCAAGTTTGACTAGAGTTGCCAGATTAAATTGCAGCTTTGGAGTTCCTTCTACAAATTTTACTTTCTCCTAAATATTGCTTAGGGGTTTTAATACTAGAACCTATCTGATACTAAAAGTTTTAAAAACAATTTCTATAACTTGGGGAACTGTTCTCTCTCTAGCATGAGTGGATTTATATTCTACAGAAACTAGAAAAGGAGGCTACTGTTCAGAGACGTCTAGATTCTGGTACCAGCTAACTTTGTTGGTTTTTATTTATGTTGCCTACTCAAAAGTGTTTTTTGTACAAGTGGAGCACTTGTTTACCTACTTTGGAATTTGTACTATTTGCTATCATGTACATGGAATCTGTTATGATTAATTTAAAAACAAATATTTTAATTTTGTTTTTGGCAGAAGGGGACAAAGAGTTTGTAGAAGACTTGAGTGGACAGGAGAGTAAACAAAACAAGAAAAATGCCGAAACCAGTAAGTAGCTGTTTTCTCACTCATCTAAAGTCTAACAGGGTTTTCACATATTAAGAGTGATGATTTTATAGAAGCTATAGTTGGTTTGATTCTGCCCTTTCTAGATTTCATAAGATTGATAATTTGCAATTAGAGTTGACATAGTTTAATACCAACATGTGAAAACAGATGTGAGAGCTTGGTACCTGTTGTATGGAGCACACTTGGAAATGGGAACAGCATTTTAAAAAAACAATGAACTTGGAGTCCATGTGGCTGGCAGGAGGAATGACTTTTCAGGAATTGTTGACTTTTGAGATGGCATAACATATAGTGGTTAATGGAGGCATAATTTGAGCCTGGCACAGGGTCTGTGATAATCAGTATAAGAATTTGCTGCAGGATTTGGCAGGGGTGGATAAAACATGTCGAATGTGGTTGTTTTACCATGGTAGAGTGTATAACCTAGAAGACAAGTGTAGAAGGGAGGAAATAAGCAATATTTATGGTCTCCTATTTAGCTGAGATGCGGGTTTATTCATTTTCTCTCCAGAGGCAAAAAAACCCAAATCCAACCTTTGTATCAATATTAGCTCTAGAATTCTTTCAGGGAGTAATTATTCAGCAGCTTGTTTTTTCTGCTGTTGATATAATAGTGGTTGGCCAGGATTTAATCTGCCACGTGCTAAATGACTTTTGGTTGTCTCTTCCCTTTGTATCCAGTGAGCTAAGCATTCAGAAAGGGAACCAAATTGTCAGGGGACATTATTTCTATTCAACTCAATTGGCTTATGTACTAACCTTCAGGCTTGCTTTCTTTACTGTTATTTCACTGAGGTAGTAGATTGGGAGCAGTGCAGATCTGTTACTGAGAATAAATATGTCTGTGTGCATGTGTGTACACAAATATACATACCTATACATAGAGGTATCAAAGGGTTGTGCTATTAATCAGAAATTACCAGTGTAAGTAGTCTGTGTTGCACACTAGTATTTGTGCCTGATACAGCTTAAGGAATAATGTGAGCATGGGACTGTCCAAGGGCTAGAAGTTCTGTTTTGAGCTTTGCTGTTGGTCTGTTGACCAACTGACCCTACCCCAATGTTTCTATATTTCTTCTTTCCACCCATTGACTTTGAGGCACAGTATCTTGGTGTTTTTTGAAGTTGGAAGTAGTTGTTCTGCTCCCATCTTACAGAAAGCTGCACTGTTAAGGGTAAGAAAATTAATTAGCAGCATACTATTTTCTGACATTTTTGAGTCCTGGCTATAGTAATTGGGAGTGCCTTCTTTGATAGAGCTTTTCAACTGAAAAACTCTATTTTAAGAATAAGGCAAAAATTCACTATGAGCCCATGTGGCCCTCAAATTTGTGCAGCTATAGAGCAATGAAGCCACAGAAGTGATACATAGAAAATAAAGCATGATTGAGGTTATTTCTTTTTAAATTCTGGGTTTGGAACCATGGCATTTAGGCAAGTGGGGTTCCCTGTATGTTAGGACCTGAGAAAATCGTAGGAAATATTTGTAGGGTTGTTCATGACTAAAGAAGTATCCTTAGAACTGAGATTGCAGAGGTGCTGGAAGAGCTCACAATCCATCCTAGGAATGAAAATTAGCTACCAGATCTTAGGAAAGAAGGTGGACTCATGCCAAAGTTGAGAATTTTTTTTCCCTTTTATGGGGCCTTACATAAAGAGTTCTCAAGTTGGGATGTTCTTGTATGTCTCCTGGCGATGTAAGGGCATGTGAGATCTTAGAAGGAAGCTAAAAGAAAGGAGATATTAAAAAATGAAACCAAATTGATTATGATTCTTGAAAAATGTCACATGGATTTCTTCCTCTAAACTGCAGTTTGCTGTAATTACAATTGGTAATCAGTGAAAGAAGTAGCAGCACATATGCTGAAGTAATTGCCAAAATAATTTTTCCAATAAAAATCTTGGATTTTGCTCTACTTGCTTTTTAAACTGTAGATTTCTTTGGAGCTTTTCCCCCTTCCTTTTTTTTTTTTTCTTTGGAGACTATAAGAGTCTAGTCACTGGTTATGTGTAATGAATCCAACATTGTTCTTTGAAGAGTCTTGCTCTTCTAGTAAGTTGGATGGTACCGAACTGTAAAAGGTTTCTTGCTCTGGGCATTCACTGTAGCTCTTACCAGTTGTTTTTAAAGACAATCTACAATAACCAAATGTACTTCTAATCCGGAAACTATTTGCACTTCAACTCATTGTTCTTCATTTTCAACAGCTGTTGCAGTAAGAATATGCATTGTGCTGTAGCTTTATTGAGGTTTTTTAACCTGAAAGGTAATGACAGTGATGGATAAGATTGTTTAGGAGTAAGAAAATCCAGTTAACGTCACTGGTGAGAATTTTGACTGTGTTATTTTGTAGTTTCCTGTCTGTATTCCTGTGATCTATTTAGGTGTGTATATATTTATTTATTTATTTTTGTCGAGACTCTGCTGTAATGATTCTATTGGTAGTTTTCAGAAAATCTGGTGGTTTTGTAAATGTGTGAATCTGTGCGGTGCAACTATAAATAACTTCTCTCCACATTTTTTGAATGAATTTTTCTTTTTTGTTATGCATAACAAAATACTGGGAGTTGGACTTGATCTTTATGGGTTCTTTCTGATTTGAGATATGCATGATTCTGTGGTGATAAATAAGCTATAGATTGGTTTAAATGAAATCAGTAAGCACTAAATCACAGACCAACCAATGGAATAGGTTTTGTTTTCACTTCTTTGCTTTCACACTGAAAAGATATGTTGTGTTCCAGACAAAAGTAAATGAAGACCAGTAAAATGTCTTGGCAATAGTTGAATTTTAAAGCCAAGTTCTTTCATTTTTTTCCTGGAAGTCTCAATCAGAAATAAGGTTCATGCCACTGTGAATGGTCTTCTTGTACACAGTAGAAAAAAGGTCATTGTTCTTAAGTGTTTGGGATTTTCTCTCTTAGAGGCTACTAGGTTAGATAGCTTGAGTGAAAAGGCTGTTTTGAAAGGGTAAAAGTGACTAATATATTTTCTTTAGATATTAAGGTAATAAAGTTGAAAAATATACATTATTGAAACATTTTCTTGTTTGCTTCAGTAGAAAAATCCGTTAACTTTGGCTGCATATGCAACAAAGTGGCTTTCCATTCTTTCAAGCAGTTCACTCAATATATCCTCTATTTTTAAAACAAAATAGTTCTCAGACTTAATACTCTCAGTTCTGCTCGCAGTGCAAAATTAAGTTTCATTTTGCTTCTGCTGTGATCCATCTAAAATAAATGGTGACTTCTTTGTTTAATTAGATCTTTGCTACTGTCATCAAAATTGGAGCTGATAATAGGTGCTTAGTAATAGTGCTTAGTTCTCTACTTACTGAGGACTAGAGTATTTAATCTTATTTTCAGTACTTTCTTCCTAAAAGAAGCAAAATGTTTTGCAGCTATATAGCATTTTCCCAGATCTTCACCAAAAATAGAAACATAGAAACTAAAATTAGAGGTCAGTTACATAACAGTTAATCATTTCATAGCCTAAGAAGATTAGGTTTAATTGACTGAAATATTAGTTGCAATTATAGGGTGAAAGAGGAGTTGAAATTGTCAGCTGTTTCTGCTGGCAATTTGCAGCATTTTTGTACAAGATTGCAAGGCGTGAAGGAGAAGGCATTTTGGTGGGTAGTAACAAGGGTACATGTCAAAGTCACTAAGATTTAAAAAGTATTCTATTTTAGTCTTTGACATTTTGCAATACAGTGTATTCAGAAGGAGTAGGTATCAGATTGTGGAATTATACAGATGTTTAAAGCTTGAACTAATATTTAAAAGATCAAGTTAATTTCTATAAAGTGATTGAGTTTAAATAGTGTATGAATTTTTCACTAGCATATTGTTTCACAGGAAAATCTTTGAGATGTGTAGTGCAGTATTCAAATTAAGGTTTTAATATAGGGTTTATTTCTGCAGCATAGACAACTAATGTCAGTTTTGAGGACTGATTTCTTTTGATTTGTCTATTAGTAACATCTATTTGCTCATGTTCTGTAGCCTTCTGTTCCTAATGCTGTTTAATCCTTACCTTTTAATTTTTATCTTCATCGATTTTTCTCAAGCATCTCTTTCTGTGTTGTCTTTGAGTTTGATGTGGACATATGCTGTGTATATTTGTACAGCATGTAAAGCAGTGGGACCCATATACTGCTTCTCCTTAACACAAATTACTTAATATGTAAAACACAAATTACTTAATATTGTAAACTTGATACAGTAATTGGCTGAACTATTGTGAAGAAATTTCATGGAATGAACTTCTTTTGCTAAGTGCAATTTTCTAATAATTAAGAAATACATTTCTATGGCTTTCATATGTGACTAATGAATATGGGATTTCTTAAAACAAAGCAAAACCTCTGAAACACTTTGCAGGTAAATTTAAATTACTTTCTTGGTACCTTCTCAGTTTCGGGCTTCCTGATGAAAGCTGAAGTGCATCAGCTGATGTCTGTGAACAATGGCCTGTTGGACTTGATGATCTTACAGGTCTTTTCCAACCTTAGTGGTTCTGTGATTCTGTGGCCCAAGGAGGTAACAGAATATTAAACTAATATTGATTTTTTTGGTGCATATTCTATGGATCAGATCTATGATTGAGGAGAGGTCCAGAGGTTAATGTAGTGACTGTGTAATATCCTATTAAATTGTGGCGGGCTGAAGTTAGATACTACAAGGATATGTAGAAATAATTTTTCAGGTCCTTAAATCAGTGAAAGAATGCAACAAAAATAAATTCCTGTATTGTTCAGTATAGGCAAATACTCTAAACAGTGTTTTGGTGCTTTAAAATAGAGCTTTGCAGTGTTTTCCTAAATATCCAACATACTTTTTTCTATGCTATGCTAAACTTCACTGTCTTCTTTAAACCTCTTAAAGCAACTTTGTGATTTCTGGTGCTGGGAGTATGAGGGCTGGTCTAGGGTGTCTGTATTGGCAGGTTTCACTTCTGTCTGTCCTCACAGCACTGCAGTTCAGGCATGACATGACCTGACCTGTGGAGGAGGGAGGACATCACCACATGAACCTTGCTAGAGGATTCACTAAGTCTTAAGTTACCCGGTTATTAAGCCTACAGCAGCATTTTTCAGTATTTCCCAGACATGACCAACATGATATTTTGGTATTTAATATTTGGATAGAGATCTCAACGTCAGTAAAAGGTGACATAAATTGTTAAATTGCGACACCAAAAAATGTTACTTGTGTAGAGCTACTTTTTAAAACCTTAAAAAAAAAAAAAAATAATGTGTGCTTAGGCATTCTCTTGTGCTTTGCAGGACCACCTGGAGAGTTTCTTGATTAGTTTAGTAGAGGAGGATCCCTAGAGGGCATCTACTCACAGTGCAGTCAAGATTACATATGAATATACCAATTTAGACTTGCTGCAGCTCTCACAGCAGAATGGCATTCAGCTAAGGACTGAGCAGCTGAATTAATCGAGCAAGTCTTATCTAGGGCTTTGTTTGAAGTCTCTGAAGTCTGAAGGAAGATATGTAATCCTGGTGAGAGCAAGATTGAAAAAAGTAGGTGCAACATGAGTCTTGTATGTGTGGTGGTAGCCTTCGAATGCTTCCTACAGGAAACCTTCATACATTTTTCTTGTCACCATTGCAAGAGCTCTTTCCTGTTTCTGTATTCATGTGGTTAAGTTAGTTCAGGGTAATTACGTTCAGATTAGTGTCTGTCTTCATAATTTGTGGTTCAGATAATTTCCCGCTGTCACCAATGTCACATTAGGAGTGTTGCTTCAACATAAGTGTATACCAACATCAGACTATTACAAGTGACCTTCCATTGCTGAAGTTACTGGGCTTTCTTTGCCTGCATTTTCTCAATTCCCTGCCGTATTTGTAACGTGGAAACTCCCCCCATGGCTGCTCTTAGTAGTAGTTGCTTAGCTTTATTTTACAGACAATACAACTGACACCAGAGGTTTGATTATATGGTGAGTGTGCTGTGTGATCAAAGTTTGGATTAGATGAGTAAACCTTCTGGGCTCAGTCTCAGGTTTTGCCAAAAGTAGCCTCCTTATTTTCCATGCTGCAGAATAACTGAAGCTCTGAAACAATTGTGAAAGCTTAGTATGCAAAAAATCTAAGCAAGTCCAGATGTCTACAGAAGAAAAACGATCGTGTAGTGTTACCTTTGTAGGTATCTTCTTAAATAACTTGTATCATGAAAGATAACATTTTAATATTTCTTTAATTTAATTTGTGACTCTAGTAGAACTGTAAATATTCTTTAGCAGTTAGCTCATCTGTTAACAGAACTTCAAAGGAAAAGAAAATTGCTGAAGATTTAAGCAGTTACTGTAGCACATGTAAGTGATCAGGTATTCCTAATGTGTATTTAGTGATATCACAGATGTAGCAGGTGTGTAATCTTGTATCACTCTGTTTTATTTGATCCAGTAACACCCCAAATGAACAGGATCTACAGACTGTTGAGTTTGCCTCTGTATTACATCTAATATTTTGCTCCTATACTCCTGTGAGGAATACAAACTTTACAGATAGTAATTCTTGCATTTGTAGAAGATGACATTTGTTATAAGGATATTTATGTAAGACATGTCTGCTGAAGCTCTAAAAAGCCTGCTGCAATTAGTAGCTGTGCTTTGTAGATTTTCTGTGAGGCTTGTTGTAGCAATGCTGCTGTTACATAACAGAGTACATTTAATAAAGTTACATTTTAGCCTCATCCCTTGTAACTTAGTTGTAGCTGCTCTAAATCAGGTGTCTTTTCTAATGTCGAAAAACATCTTAAAAAATAAACTTACTGTAATTAATGGGAAGCCCCCTGAACCACTGCAGCTGACATCGAGCTTGACCTAACTTTTAAAATGAGTTGTTCTGATAGAGAATAAGCAAATTTTTCCTCTTGAAATGGGCAGAGTGAGAGAACCTACAGGAAACACCTCTTTTCCTGCCTCCTGACACATACCCTCTAATTTTTTTTGCAAGAAAAGTTTACTGTCTCTTACTCCAAAGCCTTCAGCTCTTGTTCTTTATCAGTACTTGCACACAAAAAAGTTTGCTAACCCCTGCTATCTTCCTTGTTCGTAGCTCTATAGCCTGGAGTTCATCAGACTCCCCACTACTCTTGTCCTGTGTATCCAGCTCATACCCAAAGTTGTTTACCTTGACACTACAGAAAGGAGTGAGCAACCTCAATCTGTTGCAGGGGGACAAATGTTTGTCCAGTTTTGTATTTGGCACTCCAGATCTGTCTTCCTGAAACTTTTCAGACTTGCTTCTCACAAGTATTCCACCTGGTGGCAAAATTAGGGAAGTCGTTAGTGCAAAGGGTTTACACAGGCATAGATTAAGTAGTGTAAGAACCTGTAATACAAGTCCTAATATATTCCTGTTCCATATTTTATAGTAGAGAGAAATTAGAATATATTTGTGTTCTTTTAAAAAGTTTCATGTTTCTGTTTTTTACATTTATAGCAAAGTAGATTTGACCTTTAGAACATTATATTCCTGTTCACTAAAGATAAATAAAATGTGATATCCTGACATTAGGAATGGAGGACCATTATAGCTGTGAGAAGACAGTACTGTGCATTTAGTACTTTGTCTGTTTTATGAAAATTCTCACTTCTGTGAGAATTCCCTTCAGCGCTTGAAGAGAAATTGGAAAGACTATTGTACTTCCAGGTAAGATAGCCTCCCAGATATCTCCTGAAATATTTGACTGCTTGTCTTGGAACAAATGAAAACAGAGACTGTCAGCGTGTTGGCCTCTTCTCCCATGTAAATAATAATAGGATCAGAGGAAATGGCCTGAAGTTGCAGCAGAGAGGTCTTAGATTGGATATTAGGAAGAATTTCTATAGTGGAAGAGTGGTCAGGCACTGGAGCAGGCTGCCTAAGGAGGTGCTTGAGTCACTATCCCTGAAGGCATTGAAGAAAAGTGTAGATGTGGCACTTCAGGACATGCTGTACTGGCTGAGGTTGGGGGTTTTTGGGTTTTTTTGCTGATGGTTGGACTTGGTGATCTCAGAGGTCCCTTCCAGCCCTTGCAGTTCTGTGATTCTGTGAAAATAGTCCTTTATTTCAGCAGAAGGAAGTTGTTCATTGAATAGTGGTGGTTTTTCAGCCTTTTAGTAAGGGAATTGAATGGGATCAGTATTAAGGGACACTAACTTATATAGTTCCTCTTTCCATGGATAAAAAAAAATAATAATCTGCTATTAGTCTGTCCTGAGGTGCACAAGATTGCATCCTATATACTTTCAGACCACGGAGTCTCTTAATTTTAGAAATGGCAGGGCAGGAGGCTCTTTGTTTTTTTATATTGCCAAGTATAAATACCTGAAAATGGTCTATATACTACTAGGAGCTTCCTTTTGCACAAATTCGGGAAGCACACTGAAAGACTGTGTACAGTGGCTGAATGTTCTGGTGTTCTTTGAGTGTTCAGTAGTCACTTCAGCAATCCTGTTAAGTTGATTTTGAACTTTGTTCCCTGGTTTGACCTTCAAACCCAGTGTTAAATATTATTCTGCATATGCTTTTATACTAAATAAAATGAGATTTTTTCAGATTCAGATTTTCTGTTTTAGTATCTATTGTGTTGTAACCACTAAAATTGTTTAATTTACTCACCACATAATACTGTTTCTTACAAGCTAATCATAGTATATATAAGCATTTTACTGTTACAGTATGATTTAAATATTTTTTTTATTTTCTGTAGATCAATGTCAGAGTAACCACAATGGATGCAGAGTTGGAGTTTGCCATCCAACCCAATACAACAGGCAAGCAGCTCTTTGATCAGGTAACTTACGTGTCTGTCTGTGTGTAAACATGTGGAACTATTGTGGGTATTAAGACACAGTTTGAAAAAGCAGAAGTGTTCTTGTGTATGGATTGTTTTTCCTTACTTTAAGCTGTGTTCTCAGTTTGAACTTCATAATTACTTCTCATGGAATGTATGAAATTCAAAGACAATTGAGTGTGAACAGGTTAACAGTGAGACTCCAGTTAGATTATGTGTATAGAGTTATTTTGAAATTAATGGTATTTTTAATATCTAATAACATTATAGCTGCAACTGCAATATAATTATTAGGATTAAGTGTATGAGAAATCTAAGTTCCATTTAAATGAGGAAAAACTTCTTCACAGTGAGGGTGACGGAGCACTGGAACAGGCTGCCCAGGGGGGAGTCTCCTTTGGAGATATTCAAGACCTGCCTGGATGCAGTCCTGAATAAAGTGCTGTAGGGGACCCTGCTTTAGCAGGGGAGTTGGACTAGATGATCTCTAGAGCTCCCTTCCAACTTGTACAATTCCGTGATTCGCTATTTAATAATGGATGTAAAAATAAAAGCTCATTAAGGAAAACTAGCATTATTTTTTTTTCCTCTAGGATGAAAACTGTAGCATTTTTCACTTTGTGAATATTAGAAAAGTAATGTTCAATGATCCAGTTTGAAATATAAGTTAGGAAAAAAAAGTACTAAGTGGAAAAGTTAAAATGATGGCTTTAATTTGCTTAGGGATGGCAGACCCATCGGAACTACATGTTCTTGCTTGATAGTGTCTGTCATACACCAGTCAAATGGGCTGAGCGAATGATTCTTAAGAAGGGTTGATCTCTCATTCATTTAATGTCATGTTAGCCATCAGAATCTTGAAACAATTTTTTGATCTGGGTCGTAGAGTATTCTAGAAAATGTTAAGAATAGAAGCTTTTCAATGTATCATTTTTTCCTTGAGAAACCCATACATATGTTATATTTATAGATCCAAGATGTATGCATTTAGTTAAATATGCAGAAATAAAAACTGCTCTTCAGAAACAGTTTAACTATATTGACAATTATATCTAGTAGAACTGTCATTTCTGTTCTCTCTGCTGTAGATGCTAAAAGTATGTAATGATGGCTATCAAGAGAAAGTAACACCTTGAAAGAGTTGTTTAAGAGCTCTGAACTTCTAATCGAACTTTAAGAGTCTATTACGTCTTAGCATAAAAGTTGAAAGGAGGCAAATACTTACTGTTTTGTATCACTGAACTTTTAGAAATTTCATTTGCAGTTTTTACTTGAAGTGACTATGACTCTTAACACTTGTGCCCCGTCCACTCGAACATCAGTAGCAGTGTATCTTCAGCCTCTACATAGGAATAAACTTTATGACTCTTACAAAGACTTCTTGAAGAAAAGGGCTGTCCTGCTTTTTGTCTAACCAACACCACCATCAAACAAAAAGTAGGGTGTTCTGTGGCACAGAAGCCTCAAGCTGTTATTTGTCTTTTGCCAACCATTGCTATCTTCTGCCATGCAGTATTGGGTGGGGTGTCATTCTGCCATGTAACGTCTTGTGCCCAGGTAATCAGGTTCATCCAAATTGGGGCATTTTACAAACAAGAAACGAAGATACAGCTCGGTATTCTTTTTCATGCTCTTTCCAGCTTCACTCCTCAGTTCACTGTGTGGCTTTTGACACATCTCACCAACTGTTACACAATTAACTTTTGAAGGTTTAAATTGAGAAATGGTTAGGCCAAGCAAAATCAAGCAGCATAGTAGCATGTGAGGAGAAAAGCATTTTCAGCCTTAAAGTCCTATGTGAGTTCCACAGAGTAACATCATGAGTGAAACTGTGTTGCAAAACCAGCATGACATTTCAGACAAAAGTTATGTTGTTTCTCTATAGAAAGAAAACTGAATAGCACTGTTATTGAGGGGATTGGTCTTCAGGGTTTATGCAGAAATTATGGTCATTACAGTAGGCTTGTTGGCTATTACATACAGAAAACAATATCTCTGTGAATTTAGCTTTTGTCTAGTGCTCCCCTACATTTTGGGTGAATAGCTTGTCTTTTTTTTCAGTCAATGTTTCTTTAACCTTTTAATTGGTGTTTCCTGGAGCTGTTGATTTGTTTCCCATTCTGTGTGTGTGTTTTTGTAATCTTCATCTGCTAGCAGACAAGAATTTAGCATCCGTAGTCTGTGGCTTTGTCATTGTGAAACTCAGAGTTTTTTGCACAAACTTACTTTTAAAAAATTGCTCATGTTTCAGAAGATGTTTTAACTTGTTACTCTTTCTGTCTTTCATGTCAGTGGTCAGAATGGGCAAGAGGGGATCTATCCTCCTTTAGTCAACCAATTTAGCATCTATACCTTTCCTAGGAAGGGAAGAACCCTTGGTGGGTATTTTTCCACACACTAGTGGTAATTGTAGAGGTTGTTTTGTTCTGTTGTGTTCAATAAGATCTTAGCACTGGGCAGCAGTACCTCTGGTTTACTGTAGTTGCCATTCAGAAAGACTGGGATGGTTGTCTATTTCAAATTATACTCTGTTTTCATTTCCATATATCTCAGAAGCCTCACTTATGATCTTTCCAAAGTGAACTCAATGAAATTCTTGCTAGGTTGTCTTTATTTATATGTTTTGATTTTCCAAAACATGTCTATTGCTCTGGTTGCTTTTCTTCTGCAGTAAGTTGTTATTGCCTAATAATAGTCAAGTTGTAGGATGTGATGGTGGATAAATCTGTTTTACAGATGTAATGAAGACTTGCCTGAAGCCAGTTAATCAATCTACTGAGCCAGTGTCAAACTCTTAAGTTTCTCATTCAGTATATTTTCATGTCATGCTACGGCAGTGCCTAAATGCATATGTTGTCTTGGTACAGTTTCAGAATTTTTTTTTTTTCATTTGAGCTGAGAGGCAGTGATAGACAATGCTCTTTCCTTATTTTAGGAGTCTGAAGTACAACAGGCTAATGCGTAAGCTGGTTTAGTGCTGATTTGCAAGCATGTGTCACACTGCAGTAGACAAGTTGTCTGTAAATGATGTGCAATGTGCATCTTGGTTGAAGGGCTGTGGTTAGCAGGTGAGTGCAAAGTGTTCTGACATGAGCATGTGACTCCTTAAGCCTTATGGGCAGAGTTGTTGAGCATTTGCAGTTCTTACTGACTTCTTTTGCAGCTTAGAGAGCTGATCAGGTACAAAGGCTCAACTTGTACGGCTGCAAAGCAAAGAACATTCTCTGAGTCATCTGATAAAGCCACGCATAGTTTGATCAGCGTATCAGCATCATATAGGAGATCTGTGTCAAAAGATGTACAGGTCTGAAATTGCTGTGTCAGGACATCAGATTTAATATTACTCAGGACTATACAAGTAACAAACTTGTTCTTAGCATTTCTTATGTTCTAGAGTGAATGATATAGGAATTCTTAAGAAAATAACTATGTTCACTAAAGGAATCAGATTGGATCAGTGAACGTTGTCCATTCTGTGCTTTGGGTCTTGAAGGTGAAATGGTAGAGGAGGTAAAAAGATGCACCTGAATTATTGTTAAGTAATAGTACAAATATGCACAGCACATATTTGCACAGCTATCTTGTGACATTTTCTAATTTTCAAAATCTTAATTTTGCAACCCGATAGTACTACTTTAAAATGGAGGAGGATCTATGTGTAAAATTCTCTTTACTTCACATGCATCTGAATGCTTCCATAAAACACCTTCAGTAAGCCAGCTTGCCAGCATGGTCCAACCTGAGAACATACGTAAGTACTGCCATACTGGGTCTTTTGGAGCCAGAGATTACAGTTTATTGATAATCTTAGATGGACCTTTCTGATTAACTGCCTGTTGAATCCATGTGTACTTTTGCTATGCAAAAGACTGATAAGATAGTTCCACAGTTATAATAAATCTTTGAATCTGCTATCTAATGATTTCTGTTGATTATCTTAATCCTTATATTACGAGAAATAATGAATAATAATTTTGTTTCCCTTCTATGTGCCATGCAAGTTTTATAGACCTGTATCCTATTTTTACTTTCCTCATTTCACTGTCCATAGCCATAGTTCTCATCTTAGCTATGCAGATAATGTTCAGTATCACTGATCATTCTTTTCTACTTTTCCAAAACATTTTTAGTGCGTCAGCATCCTTTTTTGAGTTAATGTGACCAGCCCCTATGCAGTATTAGAAGTTTGGGAATACCACTTGTGTGTGTAGTCATCTAACAGCTTTATTGCTTTTTCCTTTTCCAATGAGAACTTTGTTTGCATGATTAAAATTGTTGTGTTTTACATAAAATCTTTTGTCTTTATTAAATATCATCTTTTATTGATGTTCATATTCCTTTTTACAGTTCATTCACAGATCTCTATGGAAAGTTTTCTACAGCAGATTTTCTCACAACAGTGTCATCTTTTTTATAGACTACATATGAAGTCCTGAGGGACTTCCCTAGTTGTTACACTGCAAGTCTGTTGTAAAAACAGTTTGCTTATTTTTTCTTTATTTCTAACTTGGGTTTCCATAAAAAGGCCTTCTCTATATTCAAAGATGATTTTGTTTCTTTAGAAGCCTTTGATGAAAGACTGGATCAGAAATCTTACAGAAATTCCATGTATGGTTTATCAGCTAGGTCATCCTTATCCCTTTAATTGTTACATCTTAGAAGATCTCAAATATATTTGAAGGAGGTGATCCATCTTCATTACATCATACTTGTCCACAAGTATTTTTCTTTATCGTAGCTTCATCAGTTGTGTTCTGTTGAAGTGGACTTGCTTGTCTGTAGGTCTGCGGATCACATCCCTTTCCCAAAGATCATTTGCTTTCAAAGATCAGAGTCCTATTTGCTAACTTGTATTCCTCAGGTGCTTGATGTACGCAGTGAGCTGCAGGCTCCAATTGGTAGTTTGGCAACAGTGTGGGAGTTAATTTAGAACTTCAGGATGGATGCTTCCCTGAGCCTCATGTTTTGCTACTATTTAAATTTTTTTTTTTTGGTCATGTAAAACTTGGTTACATTTCAGTTTGAGATGGTTTCTCTAGCTTAATTACCACTTAAAAATCCTGCTGTAGTCATTATTGATGATTATGGATCATTTATCTTTAGGTGGTGAAAACTGTTGGTCTTCGTGAAGTCTGGTTTTTTGGGCTACAATATGTGGACAGCAAAGGCTACTCAACTTGGCTGAAATTAAATAAAAAGGTAACAATTCCCTAACATTTAGGCAAGTTTACAGCTTGGAATATATTTTGACAAGGCTTGTTGCTTTAATGTTGTAGGTTAGATATAGCTGGTTTGAAATTTAGTTGAAAAGTTGCTTTTCATTAGCTTTAAATAACAAAATAAAGTGTTAAGTTTGGTTAACAGGAATATGCAAAGCTGCATTAATATTTAATTTGAGAAGGTGATACAGTTTCCTGTATTTCCAGTACCATGGTGAGGCATGCATTAGGAAGATGTAAATTCATATGACTGTACTGTTTCCATGTAGCAAAATATAACAGAATGCTTTTTTTACAGTTGTAAGTTTGTGTGAAGTATTTGAGCTTCATGTGTAGGTCTTCAGACAAGGCAAAAATAGTAGACTTCTAAACTTCTGGGTAGGGCATCAAGTACATAGAGTGTAGGATAATTTCTGTTTTGTTTTTCTCCAACAGCACTGAGCACCTTGTATCTCTCAGCTGTTGGGAACCAGGTTATTTTACTTCAAATTCTTTTATTAATTTGAATAGTCATTCTCTATTTGAATAGCAGCTGTCAGGCTAATGGCATGGTTTACAATAAAGAGATTTATTATTTTTAGTTCAACTTTATAATACATTTTTAATCTTCAGTATTAGGAGGCAAAATGGGAGGTTTTTAGTGGCATTTATATAGTCTTCCCTTCTTCCCTGTGGTAAATCCAGTGAGTTAAACCTGCCAGCCACCAAAGCTGTCTCCTAGAATTTCATATCTGTGTCTTGTTTCATAGGCAATAAACACTGTAATACTACAAATATTTTGTTAACCATAATGGCTTGCTTGCCTCCAGATATTGGAGACTACAGGATTTGGCACATGATTTGTAAAAAACGCATTAGAAGTTGCTCTATCCAAGTCTTTAGCGAGTTAAGTTGCTGTTGCAGGTTAGGACAGCAAGGGTGTGCTAATTTCTTTGACTAAGCCTGTTACCTTTTTTTTAAAAGCTTATGATGTTTGATTTTCAAATGCATCATCAAAATCTGGCTCTAACTTGAAAGTTACTATTTAAATACTTGCATGAAATACAGATAAAATTTGATAAATAACAGAATAGATGTGCAAATAAGGGCTTATTATTGCAAGAGCACTAGTTGTTCACTGATGAAATTAAGGTGAAATACTGTGTAGGTAAATCAGAAGCAGATAGATAATGAAATGTGAGCAAAACATCTAAAACTGACATTTGAAATGTGGAATTTAATTCTTATGTGATGATTAAATGGTTGCATTATATTTACAGGTTTTGATACTACAAGTGAAGGAAACAGATGCATCATTTTGTGCGTGGTGAAGTAGTTCTAGAGGGACTGATAGTTCACATAAAACTAGATGTGTAATAAAATGGTTGAGGAATTGGGATGGATGAGATTTATTATGAATATACCTTTTAACAATCCCTGTATTATATGATGTTGAAATTAGTTTATTTTGAAGGTTTTTGCTTTAGTCATAATCAGTGCTGAAAGCTGAGCTCAAATGAAATGGAAGATTCTACATAAATGAGTGTTTGGTGAAATTTGGAGTAGACACTGACATAAAACTTAAGATGTCCCCATATGATCTCTTCACAGAAATCACGATTATAAGGCTTACCCGTTATTGAAAAATAATGTAATTAATGGATTTATGTTTTTTGCACAAAACCAAAGTACATACATTTAATTCAATAGTTCAAAGACTTTTAAAATAATCAAACTTTACACTTACATTGAAGAAAAGTGCTGTAGTTTTTGCTAAAGAATGCTTGTTAAACCCAAGTCTGTTATGTTACCTTCTAGAGTTCATCCTTAGATATAGTTGGGGTTTTTTTGGTAATATATTACAGCTTCTTTTTCTTCAGGATTTTATTGTGATAAATACAAATTCACACAAGTCTACAAAAAACCTCTTAAATAGCCTCTGAGTGGTGTTTCAAAATTGTCTGATTTAACCAAATTGGTGTCGTTGGTTCACTGTCATGTCAATCTTCAGTGGTTTCCACAGTGAGCTTGTCAGGAAGCACTGGATTTCTGTGTAGAGGAGCTAAAGAGTTAATTATATTTAATATATCATTTAGTGGTCTTTTTTTCCTTTATTCCTCTACCTCAGGTAACACAGCAAGATGTAAGGAAAGAAAATCCTTTGCAGTTCAAGTTCAGGGCTAAGTTTTTTCCAGAGGATGTATCTGAAGAATTAATTCAGGAAATAACTCAGAGACTTTTCTTCCTGCAAGTCAAAGAAGCGATCTTAAATGATGAAATATATTGCCCACCAGAAACTGCAGTTCTTCTGGCTTCTTATGCTGTCCAGTCCAAGTATGGAGATTACAGTAAGGAGATACATAAACTGGGCTACTTGGCCAATGACAGACTTCTCCCTCAGCGGTGAGTGAGATTACATACGTTTTTTCATAACCTGGTGCATATAAACTTGATTACAGCACATTTTTTAATACTTAAAATATTAAATGATAATGTGCATTTAGTGGTAGCTTTTTTTAGAGTGCATATTTTGCTAGTAAAATGTGGAGATCCTAATGTGGACTCTAAATAACAAAGAAATGTTACAACTGTGAGTTTCTTGAGACCTATTTCCTGTCCCATCCCCAACTATCTGCACAGATTTAGTTGAGCACATTTCCAAAGTACTCCAAAATGACCTAGTGTTCCTGGAAGCTTACATCTGCTAAATTAAAAGCAGAATAATATAGAAGTCACTAAAATTCATTTGGTAGTCTCTCCTTTTCTTCAGTTGGTGTTTTTGTACACTTAAATTATAATAATTTCCTGAAAATAATTACAAAGTACATTGCAAATAAAAGATGTTGCTGGAAAATGCGAGTCTGGACAGAATAATTTAGAAATGAAACTATGGCCATTACTGTTGAGCATAAACTTTCTTGTATCAGTCAGGATCTTCTAGGAGGTTAGGAAAAAGAAACACCAAGATTATAGTTCTGTTTCTTTATGCAACTGAAACCATCCTCCTGGCATGTTTGGCAGCCAGAGAAGCATTGCAACACAAATACACAAAGTTAGTGTAGATGAATCTCTAGTGATGTATGGTGGATAAATGTGTGCTTTCTAAATATGTAACAATGCATCATCAAAGAAACAAGAGCAGTGGAATAATTTGAGGTTTCTTTTAAAGTCTTGCTTTTTCTCTTTGTTTTGAAAACTGAAAGTAGAAACTCACTCATTAGTGTAACTAGGAGAATTTTCTAGCAAAAAAACCCCAACACATTTCAAAGGATTGCAGTGAAGTATTGAAAGAAAAATTTCTGAAAATGTTTCAGAGTTTTAGAACTCCTGGCTTAAGACTTTGGTTTTGGCTGTTTATTTCCTTCTTGTGATAGTGTCTATACCTCTTTCTAGAAAATTACCCTTTGTTAGGAGGGCAGGGAGATGCAGAACCAGTAAAACTGTCATTACTGAGTATGTTAGTTCACAAATCTTGGTTTTTGCTCAGTTGTGATGACAGCCTGTGAATGTTGGAGTGATTGCCTACAACACAAACTCAAAAACTGAAGATGCTCCTTTTCAGCAGACAAACGTTCAGATGACTTCCCAGCATATGCTTTCAACCAGTTGTGTGCCAGTCTGCACTGAGTGACCACATAGTTTCTGTATTTATTCTAATACAATTATTTCTGTTTTACCTTTTGTATCCAGGAGGTTTGCCAGAAAACTAGCAAGTACGTAATAAAAATACTTCAGAAAAGTTTGCTATATAAAATAAAAAAAAACCTTGGTTATTTCCCAAAGTAGACTAGCTTAGCAAAATTCTACTGAAAAAGGGGAGAAAAAAAATTGTGGTTCCTGTTAATTAGAAAGTCTTAATGTTCACCTGTCAAAACCACTGTAAATTTTTTGGTTCAAAATTATGAGCTGGGTAGCAACAAGGCATCAAGTCCTTGCTGAGTTACTCTGTTGCAATAGTCCTTGCATATCTGCTAGCGATGTTTCATCAGTAGCATGTGAAGAGAGAATGTACACAGCCAAATGATGAGATGGTGATTGCCAAAAACATTGCCAGCTTTAGGGACATCAGAAACACAGAATCATTTGAGGTTGGGAAGATAGACCTGAAGATCAGATAATCAGTTCCCCTACTCAAAGTAGAGTCACCTAGAGAAGGGTGATTGTTGTCCTGTGGTGGTTGGTGCTTAAGACCCATTTGGACAATGCCCTTAATAACATGCTTTACCTTCTGGTTAACCCTTAAGTTGTCAGGCAGTTGGACTAGATGATTGTTGTAGGTCCCTTCCAACTGAATTAATTTCATTCCCAACAGTTTGCTCAAGGCCTTTTCCAGCTGGGTCTTGAATAGATAGGATAGCTGCTTCACAACTGCTCTGAGCAACCCGTTCTAGTGTTTGACCACCTTTGCAGTAAAGAAATAAAACTAAAAATTATGTTCAAGTGTATTTCACTTGTGCCATTGCTTGATGTCTTTCAATTCAAATTCAATTAAAAATCAATTGAAAAAGAGGAAAGTGCAGAGAGTTTCTATATAACTTTGGAAAGCCCAAGAAAGCACAAGTCTCCATGGGGGTGACTGAGTACTGCTGCAGGTTACTTAGAGTCTCCCTCCTTAGAGATATTCAAAAGCTGTCTAGCCATGGTCCTGGGCAGCTGGCTGTAGGTGACCCTGCTTGAGTAGGTGAATGAGATGACTTCCAGAGGTCCTTTCCAACCTGAACCATTCTGTGAGGAAGACCTTGGGAGCAGGGCTTTTATTTTCACAAGGCCACTTGTGTGACATAATGTTGGGTTATAGTGTATTTTGCCAATATTCTTTGTTGTCCTGTGTTTTTTGATGGTTAGCTTTATGTTATATTACTGTGAGAGCTTTTGAACATCTTGTGAATATTTGCTGGAGGAAGCAAGAAATAATGGTGGAAGGCAACTCACAATGTAAAAAGGCCTGATTTAATTACCAAGCTTCTTTAATAAATTAACATTTTCCTAGCAGATGTGGAATTTATTTTATGTAATAGAATCTTGTAAATAATTGCCAGGTTGCTTTTTGATTATTACAGCCATAGTAGGCTGTTCCACTTTGACTTATGTAAGTGCTGCATTTAGTGGCTTATATTCATGGCTAAAGATGGGAAAACAAATAAAGAAAAAGTATTTCTTGGCATTACCTGTTTTTGTATAATTTTGCTGTGAACACCCCAGCTTTGTTCAGGTGCAAAAACAAAAACCTCTGCCTCAGTTTTCAGGAGGAAAGCCTGCTGATAGGGGTGCATGCTAAGCAACCAAAATGTGGTACAGCTCCTGCTGGAAAGTGCAGTTCAGTAGGTACAGGGCAGAGTAGCAAATGGAGTGACAGAGAAGGTTCTAAATCGGAAGAAACACTGCACTGGTATTTTCTGCATCACTCAGTCTGTTCCTTACTGTACTATGCTAAAAATTTAGGGAAAAGTAGTAAATCCTTTCTTTCCTGCATTAGAGAGGAAGGAAGAGAAACAACTGGTCTGACTTCTTTAGTAAGATTTTTTTATTATTAAATTGCCTTTTAAAATAATTTATCTAGAGATGCTTGAAATGTTCAATGCATGGAATAAAGGCATAATAAAGTTATATGCATTTGATCTCTTTCTTCAGAAATTCATTTAAATTTCTAGTAGGTCAAAACATAATTACATCATTGCAACCTGCTGTAGATAAATCTCAAATAGTTTTCTGAAACTGCTTCACTACTGATTTTATTCATAAATAACAAAACCAAACCAAAAAACCTAGACTGCTAACTTGTCTTCATGTGTTACCTTTTTTTTCCAAATGACAACAGAATGAGAACCTGAGTGTATCTGTGCATACCTAGAGATTAATTTGCATTATTGTTGTATGACCGTGTTCTAGGTCTGCATTTTCAGGTGCTTTAAAGTTACATATTATTACTTTACTGGAAGTTGACATATGCTCTTGTGTGGCTTTTATATTACAAAGAATGTAGAAGGCCATGAAAAAAAATCAGTGATTTCACACTGTTTTAAAAGTGTGTTTGTTGAAATATGACGTTTCTGGGTCTGTGCGAGTTAAAAAAATTATCAGTGTAAAAGATAATTTCAGTTAAAGCCTATGTATGCTGTGTAACCAAACTTGTTTTTTTACTTCGAATCTCTAAAATTAGTTGTCAGTGTCATTTAATAGCAACAACTTTTATTCACAGAGTGTTAGAACAGCACAAACTGACAAAAGAACAGTGGGAAGAAAGAATACAGAATTGGCATGAAGAGCACAGGGGAATGTTAAGGTAATTACTTAGAAAATGTTTCAAGACCTTTACGGGTTTTTTTAATTATTATTTTTAGGATGTGTTTTGGGAGATGTATTTATTTAGAAACTGTTTTCTTTGATTCTGAGGCAGTTAATTGAAAACTTCCATGAAAGCTTTGGTGAGGGTGGCGTTTCCAGTTAGTTTATTGGCTTACCTGCATGATTTCTGGTGAGATTGTCAACTGCCTTTATCCACAGTTGCTGCCTCTAAAATACACTTTGTTTCCTTAGCTCATGGGGTAAAAAGACAAAGTGCAGTGATTGAACTATACTTGGTTAATAGGATGTAGACCTTTACAAGTATCTGAATCAACACACACATGAATTTCAAAGATATTTAATTCCTAACTAAATTTTATAGTAATTAGTTATTCTGCAGTATTGTTATGCTTACAATGTACTTATGATTTATCTAAGTTATGCCATTTTTCTTTCATCAGGGAAGATTCTATGATGGAATACCTTAAGATAGCACAAGACTTGGAAATGTATGGAGTCAACTATTTTGAAATAAAGAATAAAAAAGGAACTGAATTGTGGCTAGGAGTTGATGCTTTGGGTTTGAATATTTATGAGCATGATGATAAGTAAGTGGCTAATACTCATTTTGCAATTCTATCCTAGGAGATCCTATCTAAGATGATACAAAAACCACCTTACTGTGTGTTCAGTAAGATCTAGGAAAACAGGTTCTCAAAGACCTTCTAATCTATGTAAAATACAGAAAGAGAGAGAGACGTTAGCTGCTAGAATATTTGAATGTTAAGGATTAAATATGGATGCAAAAGAAGGGAAAGGAAGAGTAGTTTTGTGTAGATTTTAATTTACCTTGTTCAATATGTGTATGATAGCTAGACTGTTCTTAAGGTTTCTTTCTGTACTTCTCACTTCCTCAAGGCTTCTCTTCAGTCAGGATGATAGGGAGATTGAGAAGCTGAGCAACATACTTGATGAGAAGCATTTTATAAGAGCAGTGACTATGATTAGAGCATGAAAAATGTTATCTGAAACTGAAACCTTTTAGGCATCAAAGAAAATAGATGAATCTTGTGTCCTGATAGAGGTGAATGATTCTGTCCTACTTGTAGAGGAATAAAGCTAAATCATACAGTTTGAAGAATCTGAAAACAGAACAAACTTACTCTTTTGTTTCTTTTAAAACACATTAGTAGTATCTGATGTCAACAGTCTTTTCACAGTGATTTGAAATTAAACATAATGTGTCAAAACACTAGGTAACAGCTCTTAACTGAACTGAAACTTAATGCTCTTCATTGTACATTCTCTGTAACAAAGTTCTGTAAGCATTAATTGCCATTAGATGGCAATATAACTCCTGAAAGAAGGAAATACAAAATCCTGAGGTCAAATTGAAAGGTCAGCATTTTTTAATGCTTCTAATTAAAATAATATAAATTAAAAAAACTTTCTATGTTTTTCACTGAAAATTTACCAGTAACTGATAAAGAATCTGTAAATGATTGCGATGTTTAGTGCTTATTTAATGACAGTAGCATGTCATATTTTGAAATGTCTAAATTCCTTCTGTTACAGTGCCAAGTAGCTGAATTCATTATTAAATGTATTCATTTGATGGAATAATGTGTGAAAAATCGACTACCAAAACTGTTACATTTTGTATATGTAACTTTAAATTTAGTGGAAGAGTACAGAGTTAAGACCCAGTGGGCATAAATAAAATGCTCATCTCTGCTGTTTCTAATGAGAACTTTTTCTCTTTGAAGGCTGACACCCAAGATTGGTTTTCCTTGGAGTGAAATAAGAAACATCTCTTTTAATGACAAAAAATTTGTCATAAAGCCAATTGACAAAAAGGCCCCTGTAAGTACTGTGTGGAATAGTGTGCCTTTGCATATGAAGAGACTTAAGCCTGCAGAGACTTGGTCTGGCATTACAGCATAAGTGAATATCCTGTGACATTTATTATTATTATTGGTAGTAGATAAAGTACTAAAAAGAACATTTTTGTTTGAGGTGTGGTATGTTTATATTTTCTTTTAATATAAATCAACTAATATTTTGTGATGTGTTGAAGAGCTACAGTGTAAGATGCTACATTCTCTGGCCCCTCCTCTGTTTTTCTTTTTTCTGTTAAGCAGTATATTTCATGATACTTTCTATGTCAAAAGTCTTCAGAAGTAGAGTAAGGAATAGTCTCACTTTTTTAGAAGTGTAAATAATTAAGTTTGTATAAACTCATTAACCTCTACATGGAGGAGTCCTGGTGTAATTTTGAATTTCTCATGTTAAGTTCCCGCCAGTAAATAGATTTATAGATTATGGTGTTGGATTGCTCAGGGAATGAGAGTCAGAATAGTTGTAAGTTTAAATTTAACAAATTTAACAAAGCATATGGTAATGCTTGGAGTCTTTCACTATTGTATTTTTAGATTAATGGGTATGCCACAATTATTTTTGCTAGGATTTTGTTTTTTATGCACCTCGTTTGAGAATTAACAAGCGGATTTTGGCACTGTGTATGGGAAATCATGAATTGTACATGAGGAGGAGGAAACCTGATACAATTGAAGTGCAACAGATGAAGGCCCAGGCTAGAGAAGAGAAACATCAGAAACAATTGGAAAGGTAATTAACAAACTTCCATGTAACAAAAAAAACCCAACTTCTACCCTTTTAAGAAAACTAAGTCATAGAATATCTTAGCATTCTAGAAAAGGGAGCTGCTTCTTTCTGTAATATGTAAGCAGGTTTGTGGATTGGCATGGCTCACCTGTCTCAATAGAAAGCTGTTTCTTTTTTGAGCTTTCAGCATAGTAATTGTAGCTGTACTGTTGTTTCTTATGGTTTTGTGAAACAGTCTTAACTCTCCCTGGCTTGATTCTTAGAGACTCCTGTACTATACAGGTGAATCTTTTAAAGCAAAGTCAGTCAAGATGCTCATGTCTTACCTTTTCTATATGTAAAAAATACTGTTGCCATTTCTAGCACAGATGAAACATCAGCTATGTCTAAAATGCAGGTATAATTGTGAATTTACATGGTTGAATCATAACGAAGATTGCTAATAAGTTCTGTTCATAATGTCTTTCTGTACAGTATATTGGCAAAGAAACTTCTTGCGTTGTAACTGAATTTGAAACATTTAAAATTGCATGCTTCTCTGCTAGCTGAGTAAACTGAAAAACAGGCTACCAGAATCCTTAAAATATAATCTGTTTGAGGTTTAAAAAACCCCACCCTATTACTATTTTCAGGGCACAATTAGAAAATGAGAAGAAGAAAAGGGAGATAGCAGAAAAGGAAAAGGAAAGAATAGAGCGTGAAAAGGAAGAATTAATGGAACGCTTAAGACAAATCGAGGAACAAACAATGAAAGCTCAGAAAGGTGAGCTCTTACTAGTCCTGGGTTTCTTGCATCTGATAATGTTTAGTTCAGCTGGGAAGTTTGGTTCCACAATTATCTTGCTACATGTTTGTTTTTTTATTTTATTAATAATAACAATAATTCAGTAATGTATTATTTAATTTAAGAGATATGCTTTTCCAATTTTAAGACTTAAAAGATGGAGTGTGTGTGTATATTTGCAATATAAACCCAATTCCTAATATTGCAACATTTTCAGTTTTCTTTAAGAAGGAAATCAGTACGGGCACAGTTCAACTTAGAATTGTGCAGTGGTTAACGTGCCGAAAGTCTGGCGGTGGAGTGAGCAGGGAATTTAAAAAGGAAGATTCAATATACTTTTCTAGGTTTTTGTTTAATTTTGACTTTTCCTTTAGAAATTAATTGTCCTTCATTTTCCTATTCCCATGTCAGATTTGATAATTTTAAAATTAAAACTGTGCCAGTTTTTAGTGAATATTCATAGTTTCACTAGTCACAGATCTTTGTGTTTAACCACCAGATATAGTCCCTGATTCCACTGCTTCTCAGTCCCTCCACGTTCTTTTTTTGCTTCAGGTTTGGTTCACACTGGTAAAAGTTCTGTTCCTCTCTTTTGTTCATAACTATTGGCTTCAGGCATGATAGAGAGAATCACTGACTAAATCTATGCAATAAATTACATGTTCTTGGCACAGTTCTTTAGGTCTGCCCCCATATTTTCCAGTCTTTCAGCGCATGACTGGTTGGACACATCTTGACAGGAAATGCATGAGCTGTAATTGAAATTGTTCAAGGGAGAGCTATTTTGTTCAAAACAAAACAGTGTGAGAGATTCTACAGATTTAACAATGTGCATTTTCTCATAACTTTTGTAAGCAGTATAGTCTAGTTTCTGATAAAATACATAATATTAATGTGTTGCAGGTAAATGGTGTCTGAATTCTGTAGTAGGTTTGGTAGTTAAGTGTTCCACATCTTCACAGGAAAATTTTGTTTGAGTAGTGTCTTTAAATATTTATGCATTTTATTTAATTTTCTAAGTACTGATATACTTAATAACATTAATTTCATTTTATAACTGAAGTAGATGCTCTAGGAAAGAAACTGAAGAATATTGATTACACAAGACCTACTTAAAACTACAAGTGCAAAGATTAAGCACATGCCATCATACCTGGGGAGATGCAATTTTAGTATTAAAACGTACAGTGAAGGGCAACTGGGTTTTTCCAGTAACTGAGCAGTTGTTTAGTTTTTTCAGGTGAAGGAATCTATGGTAGTTATGCATAGACAAAAACATAATGGAAAATTCATCATTAGAACCAGCAAGGAGCTTTGGAAAAACTTTTTTCAAAGTCTCTTTTTCCTAGTTGCTTCATTTTGCCCACCAGAAGTTTTCATTTTTTTTGCCTGTGCAAATCTTGACCTTGCAGTACTGGTAGATCATTATTTATTCCAACTTATTTAATTCAAACCAGAGTTCTGCCCTTTAGATTGCAACCAGGTAGTTAGACAATTATTATCTCTACCTTGAATTAGAATTTTCCTCTTTGTGCCTTTTTGACTGTTATGTGGAGAATTTTTCTGACACTTCCAGTGGTTCATTTTGCTGTAGGCACACACCTAAATCGGCTGTTGCAATTAACAATTTTTGTCAGGCATTTCAATAGAGTAGAAGAGGTTTTGGCTTTTTTTACTGTAGACAGTGTAATTTAATTTGTATAAAATCTCCTCAGTAATGAGAGGGGAGGCGTATGTGCAGGCATGTACATATTTTTGGGTGTTTAGTTTTACAAGGAAGGTGGTAATTTTCTGAAATGCTGGGCTGTCAGAACTGCCAGGTGAGATGAGTATTTCCAAAACATGTCTTAAGGAGACAGGGGAGGGGTGTCACACACAGGGCTTAGCTTCAGGTGACATGCTCAACAGCTCTTCTTGGCTTGAGGCAGCCTTCTCAAGCTTTGTCAGCTTTCTTGGTTACTTCATTGTGAGCATGTGGCAGCTGTTATCTGTGTTACCTATGAGAGAGAGTCAGGTGGTGATATCTCGTCTGCAAACTCCTTTTGGCAGAGCTAGAGGAACAGACTAGAAGAGCTCTAGAGCTGGATCAGGAACGGAAGCGCGCGAAAGAGGAAGCGGAGCGTCTGGAAAAGGAGCGTCGAGCAGCCGAAGAAGCTAAAGCTGCTCTAGCCAAGCAGGCAGCTGATCAAATGAAAAACCAGGAGCAGCTAGTAAGAAGTCTTAGTCCTATTTTGAAGCCATTTCAAATTATATTCTGTAAAATGGAGAAGTACATTGAAACACAGACAAAAGTATGTGAAATACTGTTACAGGCTGTTGTGGGAACTTTTCTTAGGAACCTGTATTAGATTTGCCACTATTTGCAAGAAAAATTATGGGACTGTTAAGAAATCAAATTATGAAGTAGACATTTCCAACTGACAATACCCACTATGCTATCTTTCTAATAGTGACAGCCATACCCAACTGAGAACAAGATTAGCTTCCTTGTGCTGTTCACTGGGAAGCCTGTTCTCTGAAGCAGATTTGTTCTGAAGCCTGCTGGTGATGATGGGGAACTGGTGACTGGGGTTTTTTGTTTGGTTGGTTTTCTTGTTGAGGGTATCTTTCCCCTCTGTTTCCAGCATTTACAGTATTTTCTGACATTGTGTGCTAGACTACTTCTAATTCAAGATTTCTGCATAATAACAGAAAATAGAAGAAATTATTTCTCAACTATAAAAGCAGCTTTTGATCTTCTGTAAACTTAACACACGATTGTGAAGGCAAGATTTATCTTAACAGTGCTGTGATTGTGATCCAGAATTATAATTTTATTGGTGGAACCATAAAATGGCATTAAACTGAGACAGCCCCAAATACTAATTTGTAACTACAGTTGGCATTTTCCTGTGAGCTTTGGACATGGAGAAGAAAAACACTGTTTTTCTGTACTTGTTTTCATCAGGCAAGAGTACTGATTCATTCCCTCTGTCATGTATGCTTAAAATTTCTCTATTTAGCAGAGAAATAATGGACAGTAGCTATTTTCAAGTCAGATCACACCAAAAGCTCTGCTTTCTTCCACTGCAGAGCCAAAAAGACATCAAATTAAAATTTCTACTTTTTTTTTTTTTTTTTGTTTCAGGCAGCAGAACTTGCTGAATTCACTGCCAAGATTGCACTTCTAGAGGAGGCCAAGAAAAAGAAAGAAGAGGAAGCCTCAGAATGGCAGCACAAAGTAATGAACTCAGGCAATGTGAAGTCAGAACTCCAAAGAAACTAAGGGAGATGTGTGGAAGTCCCACTGGAATTCTGTCCATGGGATTGAAATTTTTCCTTAGGCTTCAGAGAGGCCTTTCTTAAAGGTCTTTGCTTTCCAGTCTAGTGAAGCCAACCTATTCTTCTATTTAATTTTTTAATGTTAAATAGTCATAAAGTGGGATAGGAGTTCTCATCACAAAGGTATGGTCAAAGATTTTTTAATGGCTTCATTGCATATGGTGATGGAATAGATTGCAGCTTTGTATTGGAAAAGAAAACACATGTATAAAAGCATGAGTGGTGGTGAGAAGATGAACCAGAACTGTAACAAATGCACATCAAATTAACTGGACAGTAGTATAAAGCAAAACAGTATTTTGCACAAAATTTGTAATTAGCTATGTGAATAATAATTGTGTGCAAAGGTTCAGAAGGTGATTGAACAAGTTCTTTTAAGTTTAATATGAAATGCAAAGACATGACCTTTCATTTAGGAAGTCCCTGAGCCTCAAATTTTAGGAGTGTAGGAAAGTTCGAAAGGAATCATTGTAACTGCCCTGTTCTCTCACTCTTCTGTTGTCTATTTCTGGAAATGGCTAGACTTGAGTACAGCTGGTTTTGAGTAATACATTTTTTTTACTCTGTATTCCTATTTGACCATTTTAAACTAGTTGTGTCATTTATAAAAGACAGTTTTCGTATGTCTGAGAACTTCTCAAATCTTGAATTTTCTGACTATTCAGAAATCATTAGGAGTTGCTAAGTACTGTTTACTGTATTTAGGCTTTTGCAGCCCAAGAGGACTTGGAGAAGACCAAAGAAGAACTGAAATCTGTGATGTCTGCTCCTCCTCCACCTCCTCCCCCACCAGTTATTCCTCCAACAGAGAATGAACATGATGAACATGATGAGAACAATGCTGAAGCCAGTGCAGAACTCTCTTCTGATGGTGTCATGAATCACAGGAGTGAGGAAGAGC